CCCAAAAAAAAAAAAAAAAAAAAAAAAAAAAGAACACCTTCATGTCAAACTTTTGTGGGTAATTAATCAAAACAATGAACTCAACACTTAATTTCGATTATGAAGAATGAGTGTGTCTATATATATATATATAACCTGAAAGTAGTGGAGGAGAGGCCGTAGAGGGTGCCGGAGAGGGAGGGGAGGAGGACAACGGAGGAGGCGGAGCTGACATAGAAGCCGTCGGAGGGGAGGGAGGCTCAGACGTAGAAGGGTTGGAATCGGGAGAAGATTCCGGCGGCGGAGGCAGAGCAGGGGCAGAAGCAGGGGGTGTGGAAATAGCGTTAGAGGGGGAAACGCCGCCGTAAAAAGGATAAAGCTCGTAACGGATCATACAACTGGGAGACAAGACTCTACCACCCTTTTTACCGCTGCAACAACCAGGGTAATTTTGAAGAGCGCCTCTCAAGCATTTCCCACAATTAGAAGTGGACAAATCCCCTGTACACTGAGCCAGCGTGTAAACAATCGCGTCTTTGAAATTAGCTTCCTTGGTCGCAAATTTCAACGCCCCTTTCACGGAAGAAGCATTAGCAACCGTATGGTTCAACGCAGAGCCCACAATCCGATCAAACCCACTTTCATCCTCCTCAATCGCATTGTTATTAATCAAAATCAACGTCGGCTGTTCGGCCACGATGGAAAAGAAAGATTCATTGGAATATCGCAAAAAGCACTCGTCCAACCAAATAACCGCCTCTACACTACGAGGGCAGTAGCTCTGCGTGGAATTGGCAGTGGCCGTGGCCACGCACTGTCGGCAAGCGGTGGCGTTGAGATCCCCACGGCACTGGAAGTCGCCGTATACAGCGGTGGAATTAGGAGATTTCTGTCTGCCTACCGAAGAATTGTGATAGAAATTGTGAGAAGCATTGGAGGAGAGAGCGGAAGAGAGGATTTGAAGATTGGAAAGGTAGGTGGAGTTGGGTGAGAAGGTGGCGTTGGAGCAGTAACGGAAGGGGTCTCGATAAAACTCTGCGCTTCCATGGATGGGGAAGCTGATGAGGAAGGAAAGAAACACCACAAAACTCACCATCTTAACCAATTTTATTCCTTGCCTCTTCATTTTGCGTTAGTATTTAACAACTTCAAATCCCCAATTTTAATTTTACTTTTGTGTTTTTTTTTTTAATTTTAATAAAATAAAAAGAAAAATAAATAAATAATAATAGTACAGTTGGTGGGAAATAAATGGAGAGTTGTGGTCCCCACTTGAAGTCAACGAAGGGACAGGTCAAGTCAATGCTCAGGTCAACGTTCTTCCGGTTGAGTCTTTCTGCCCTTTTTCTACGATTCATTTATTAAAGAAAGAAAAGTAACGATAATTAAACCATAAATGCGGAATAATTGAGCTTATGTCCTTTAACTTCTCCTTTTCACATTAACATCCCCTAATGTTTAGGGTTTTTTTTTCCTGGTCACACATCTACTAATTTTAATAAATTGAGAAATATTATAATTTGAAAATATTAAGCTAAAAAAATTAAAGATTTAAATTGAGAAAATATGAAAGCAATAAAAATTAATATACATTAGAGTATAATTCAATGGTAATTGATATATACTATTGTAACAGCTCAAACCCACCACAAATAAATATTGTCAGCTTTAATTAGTTGTGTCGTCGTCAGCCTCACGATTTTAAAATACGTTTACTAGGGAGTTTTTACACCCTTATATGGAATGTTTCGTTACAAATGGTATCAGAGTCAAACACTAGCGACGTACCAGCGAGAATGTTGGCCCCTAAAGAAAGTGGATTGTGAGATCCCACATCGATTGGAGAAGGAAACGAAACATTCCTTATAAACGTATGAAAACCTCTCCTTAACCGACGTATTTTAAAATCATGAGATTGATAGGAATATGTAATGGGCAAAGCGACAATATTTGCTTAGACTTGGGTTGTTATAATTACAACGGTTGACAAATTTAAAATTTTATATTCGAATTTATTGTACTAAAAAAAAAGATGAGACATACTTCATCGTGGATGCAACTCTGAAACGGATACGTCATTGACAGACCACTGAACAAATTTATTGGTAGAAATATCACTGTTTTTAATATCAGTGTTCTTACTACGTAGGAAGAACGCTGGCTCTTCAGGCAATGGCATAGTGACTGAATTGCTACTAAGCATAAGAACAATGGACGTCATGGAAGGTCTTTGGCTAGGATCCTCTTGAACACACAATAACGCAATATGAATGCACTTAAGCACCTCATTTCTCGAGTAGCAATTTCTCAGAACTGGGTGCAATATTTCTAATGGTTGTTCGGTCTTCCACAATTTCCAAGCCTAATATAAGAACAAAAACAATAAACAATAAGGGGTTTGAGAGTTCGGTTTTGTAATGCATTATTTGCTACGTTAATTCAACGTCGACTTACATAGGTCAAAAGGTCTTCGGCAAGATCCGATAAATAAAAACTACTGTTCTTCTGACCACTTAAAATCTCCAACACCAAGACTCCAAAGCTATATACATCAGATTTCATGGAGAAAATTCCGTGCATTGCATACTCAGGAGACATATAACCACTGAAACACAAAAATTGTCAATAATGATCGTTTTAAGTAAGAGGAAGATTTAAGGTAAGAAGAAAAACTTACTAGGTACCGACGATTCTTTTTGTATTTACTTGACTTTCATCCACTTGAATAATTCTTGCCATACCAAAATCCGAAATTTTCGCGTTCATATATTCATCTAACAAGATGTTACTCGCTTTGAGATCACGGTGAATAATTCGGAGACGAGAATCTTCGTGTAGATACAACATTCCTCGAGCAATTCCATTAATGATCTTATATCGTTTCAACCAATCCAACCGTGTTTGTCTCTCCGAATCTACAGATTATGAACAATCAAATTGAAACAGAGTAAAGAAATCAAACAAACTGGAATATGAAAATGAAGTTGAAGAACGAACCAAATAAGAAAAAGTCGAGGCTTTTGTTGGGAATGTATTCATAGATGAGTATCTTTTCTTCACCCTCCAAGCAAAATCCCAATAGCCTTACAAGATTTCTGTGCTGAAGCTGAGCAACCAACAATACCTCATTCTTGAACTCCTCAGAACCTTGCAGAGACCCTCTTGATAGCCTTTTCACTGCTATTTCTTCTCCATTTTCAAATCTCCCCTGAAATTATAACATATATATCTAAAGGAATCACGTATCTTCACAATGGTATGATATCGTCCACTCAGCGAGACTCCCTCCCAACAATCCTTCCCTTGAACAAAGTATACTATAGAGCTTCCCTTAAGGTTTATAGAGCCCTCGAACAACCTCCTCACTTTAACCGAGACTCGACTCCTTTCTCTTGAGTACTCAAACACAGTACACCCTTTATTCGACACTTAAGGATTCTATTTACCTGACTAAATTAAGGGGATAGCTCTGATATCATGTTAGGAATTATAGATTTCCACACTAGTATGTTATTGTCCACTTTGAGCATAAGTTCTTGCAGTTTTGGTTTAGGCTTCACCAAAAGGCCTCGTACCAATGTACATGTATATACTTATAAATCTAGGATCATTCCCTAAACTAGTCCCTCCCAACCATCCTCGACAACTACTAACGGTGTTAAATGAAATTTGGTGGGTTTAAGTGGTTGGTACCTTGAACACAACTCCAAATCCGCCTTCTCCCAATTTGTTTTCCTCTGAAAACTTGTTGGTAGCTGAATCGATTGTTTTGAAATCAAATAGCAGAGACTCCACGGTGGTCATTTCATTAACAACTGCACAAATCATACCCAGAAATGGCTTCATATAATTTCAGAGATGAATTCCACAACTTGGATTAAAGAACAACACTTACCACTATCTTCCTTTACAGTAGAGTGTCTCTTCCTAGCTCTCTGGCGCAGGAAGCAACATCCCAGAACGAAGAGTAGGATGGATATGGTAATAGGAGCCACAATGGCCACAATTAACATCGTTGAGATTCTTCTTTTCCCTGTTCAACAAATTCATCATGTTTTTTCTTCACAAAACGAGTCCATCGGAAGGAAAATAGAACAGAGATTACCTGGTGTAGGAGGAGGAGGAGGAAGAGGCGGTGTTGGGGTGGTGTTATTGGGCGGGGTAGTCGCCGGTGGCGGCACTGAATTCGTCAGCGTTTGTTCGTAAAACATGTAAACTTCGTAGCGAACATAACAGCTGGGAAACAGAACTCTCCCACCTCGTTTATTACTGCAACAACTCGGAATACCATTGATAGCTTGGCGTAAGCATAGTTCGCAATCGGTATTGGACAAATCGCCGGTACACTGTGCTAGAGTGTGAAGGGGTAGATCTGATGTGAAATTAGCCTCCTGGGTTGCAAACAATTCGCCCACCGAGGCGTTAGCGGCTCGAGCCGCGGTGGCTCTCAACGTGGACATGACTAGTTGGTTGAATCGAGCCTTGTCGACGTCTATTTCATCAGTATTCAGTAACGACAAACTTGGATCTGTGGAAACGTCGGAAAAGAAAGGTTGGTCGGAGTAGCGGAATATGCATTCGTCGTACCAAGCCACAGCGCCGTTTCTCAGGGGACAGTACTTTTCGGCTACGTCTTTGATAGCGGTGGCTAAGAAAGATCGGCAGACGGAGTCGGAGACGTCTCCACGGCACTGGAAGAGGCCGTAAACAGCATCGTTTGGGGGTCGGCCGGCGGAGGTATTGAAGAATCTGTTGTTCGGTGGGGCGTTGGCGGAGAGATTTGAAAAGAGGAGATTGAGGTTGGAGTGATAGGTGCTGTTCTGAGTGAAATTTCCCGGCAAGCAACTCCGATATGGGTAAGGAACAGGGGTCTGAGCGTTCCCATGGATAAGGAAACAGAGGAGGAAGAGGAAAGTAACAAAATTGAGCATCGTGAAGAAGCAATTGAGTTTGGTTACGATTTGGGAAGAAATCGTGGAACTTATAACAACAAATTTGGAGAAAGAATCGGAAGAAGGCCAATAAGAAGTCAACTTCCAAATTGGAACAGAGTGAAGTCAATGTCGGAAATGGAAACAGAGGATGAGCCTTTTCATTTGGTTAATATACTGAATTATTATTATGATTAAGATTTATTTATTTATTTATTTATTTATTTATTTATTTATTTGGAAAATTGGCTTAGGAAAAGCGGTCAGAAATTGGGAGGAAAAAGAAGTTGGGGCAGTGTGGGGTCAGCATTGGGCAGGTATGAAAAATAAATGTGTATTAAAAATAAGGAAAATTGGATATTTTTATTTATCTCTCAAGTCAATTTAGCATCTTTGAATAAATAATAAATATTTGAATTATACTTAAATTTGTTGGTATTAAAAAAAGATAAATTTTATCAAATATTTCGTAATTTTTAATTGATTTTTAATTTGACTTTTAATCTTCCAGAATTCTTAATTTTATATTTATTATAATAAAAATACTTAATTGGGTTCTATTAGCATTCTTTGTAAAAAAAATTGATATGGGATAATATGGTTGTGTGACGTCCTAAGTCTACCACTAGCAGATATTACCCATTTTGGTCTGTTATGTTTCGACGTCAGTCTCACGATTTTAAAACTCGTCCTTTAAGTAGAGGTTTTCATATCTTTGTAAGAAATGTTTTGATCTCCTTTTCAATCGATGTGAGATCTCAATCCCTCCCCTCTTGTGGGCCTAGCGTCCTCGCTGACATAACTGCTTCATATTTGGCTTTTATACCATTTGCAACAGTTCGAGGCTACTGCTATTAGATATTGTCCGTTTGGGCTCGTTACATATTGTCATCAGCCTCATGGTTTTAAAACACGTCTTTTAGGGAGAGATTTTCACACCTTTTATAAGAAATGTTTCATTCTCCTCTCCAACCGATGTGAGATCTCACAATTAACCCCCTTGGAGGCCAGCGTCCTTGCTGGCTCACTGCTCGGTGTCACCCTAATACCATTTGTTGCCTGAGACCACCACTAGTAGATATTATTTGCTTTGGTCCGTTACGTATCGACATCAGCCTCACAATTTTAAAACGCGCCTTTTAGGAAGAAGTTTCTACACAATTATAAGAAATGTTTCGTTCTACTCTTCAACTGAGATCTTATGTATTGTTTTATTAGCATTGACTATTTGAC